TATAATTGCGGCAAGAAGGGTCACTTCAAAAGAGATTGCCGAGCACTGAAGAAAGATACCGGTGCATAGGAATCTGCCAACGTGACAGAGGAGACAGGTGATGCCATGATTCTAAGCGTCAACAGTCCGATTGAATCATGGATCTTGGATTCAGGGGCATCTTTCCACTCCACCCATACCAAGAAATCATGGAGAACTATGTCCGTGGTGATTTTGGGAAGGTTCATCTTGCTGATGATGAAACCTTAAAGATCGTCGGAAAAGGAGACATCTGACTAAAGTTGCCAAACCAGACCACCTGGAAGCTGACAGGAGTGAGACATATTCCTGGCCTCAAAAGAAATCTGATTTTTGTTGGACAGCTTGATGGAGAAGGATATAGCACAACCTTTTCAGGCTGCGAATGGAAGATTACCAAAGGAGCACTCGTCATTGCTCGTGGTAAGAAGACTGGTACTCTCTATGTAACCTCAAATTTAGAGAATATCATTGCAGTAGCATATGCTGATGGAAAATCAAACCTATGGCACCAAAGGCTTGGCCATATGAGCGAGAAAGGAATGAAGATACTTCTGTCAAAAGGGAAGCTGCCGGATCTAAAGAATGTAGATGTCGGACTATGCGAGGATTGCATCTTTGGAAAACAAAAGAAAGTCAGTTTTACAAAGATTGGCAAGACTCCCAAGGCAGAAAGGTTAGAATTGGTTCATACTGATGTATGGGGACCATCCCCTGTTCCATCTCTTGCAGGCTCACTATATTATGTCACCTTCATCGATGATTCAACAAGGAAGGTGTGGGTTTATTTTCTGAAGAAGAAATCATAAGTCTTTGATACCTTCAGAAAACGGAAGGCCATGGTGGAAAATGAGACTGGTTTGAAAGTCAAGCGGTTGAGGTCCGACAATGGAGGAGAGTACAGAGACAGTAGTTTCAGAGATTTCTGCGCAAACAATGGGATCAAGATGGAGACAACAGTTCCCATAACACCGCAACAGAATGGCGTAGCAGAGCGCATGAACAGAACTCTGAATGAACGTGCCAGAAGCATGAGGATACATGCCGGATTGCCCAAATTTCTATGGGCTGAAGCTATCAACACTGCAGCTTACCTGATCAACCATGGGCCCTCAGTTCCTTTGGATGGCGGAATACCAGAGGAAGCTTGGAGCAGGAAAGAAATAAACCTTTCACACTTAAGAGTGTTTGGTTGTATTTCTTATGTACACATAAACTCTGCTGAAAGAAGTAAACTTGATGCCAAGTCCAACAAATGCGTCTTTGTTGGTTACGGTGGTGATGAGTTCGGTTACCGGTTTTGGGACTACGAAAATCGAAAGATCATCAGAAGCAGAGACGTCATTTTCAATGAAAATGTGATGTACAAAGATAGGTCAACCGCAGAATCAAGTAATACCGAAGCTGAAACAAAGGAATTTGTTGAGTTCGAGAAGATTTCTGGAAATGATGTTCAGATCAATCCTGAAGCAGTTCAAGAAGAACCACACACACCAGAACTGAGACGCTCCTCCAGAATTCCTAAACCAACCCAACGGTATTCGCCTTCTTTACACTACTTGTTGCTGACTGACAATGGTGAACCAGAGTGCTATGATGAAGCAATGCAAGTGGAGGATTCAGTCAAGTGGGAGTCTTCCATGAAAGATGAGATGGACTCGCTTATGTCAAATCAGACATGGGAATTAGCTGAATTACCACCAGGCAAGAAAGCGCTCCACAACAAGTGGATTTACAGGATCAAAGAAGAGCACGATGGGAGCAAACGCTACAAAGCAAGATTGGTTGTCAAAGGCTTTCAGCAAAAAGAAGGTATTGACTACAATGAAATTTTCTCTCCAGTCGTAAAATTGTCTACAATCAGACTGGTGTTGAAAATTGTAGCTGTAGAGAATTTACATCTTGAGCAGTTAGATGTAAAGACAGCTTTCCTTCATGGTGATTTGGATGAAGAAATCTATATGAGGCAGCCAGAAGGCTTCATAGAGGCAGACAAGAAAAACCTGGTATGCAGGTTGAAGAAGAGCTTGTATGGTTTAAAACAAGCTCCTAGACAGTTGTACAAGAAGTTCGATAGCTTCATGAGTAGCAGTGGTTTTATCAGATGCCAAGCAGATCATTGTTGCTACATCAAGAGGTTCGACAACAGCTTCATTATTTTATTATTGTACGTTGATGACATGCTCGTTGCAGGCTCAAACATGCAAGAGATTATACACTTGAAGCAAAAATTGTCGAAGCAGTTTGCTATGAAGGATCTGGGCGCTGCAAAGCAGATTCTTGGGATGAGGATCAAGAGAGACACAAAGTCGGGGACTTTGATGTTATCACAGGCTGAGTACATCAACAAAGTACTCTCCAGGTTCAACATGCAAGATGCTAAACCAGTAAGTACACCTTTAGGTGTTCATTTCAGACTCTCCAAAGACCAATCACCAAAGACGGAGGAAGAACGTGCACACATGGTGAAGGTGTCGTATGCCTCAGCAATTGGAAGTCTGATGTATACCATGGTTTGTACCAGACCAGATATTGCTCATGCAGTGGGGGCTGTTAGCAGGTACATGAATAATCCGGGCAAGGTACACTGGGAAGCATTCAAATGGATCCTCAGATATCTTCGGGGTACCACAAACAAAGCACTTTGTTTCAAAGGTGGAGATATGATACTGACAGACTATGTAGATGCTGACTTAGCCGGAAATGTCGACATCAGAAGGAGCACTACAGGGTATGTCTATACTCTAGGAGGAACTGCAGTGAGTTGGGTTTCTCAACTACAGAAGATAGTTGCTCTCTCCACAACTGAAGCAGAATATGTCGCTGTTACGGAAGCCAGCAAGGAGATGGTTTGGCTCCAAAGTTTCTTGGAAGAGTTAAGCAAGAAACAAGAAAACAATATCTTGTATTGCGACAGTCAAAGTGCTATCCATCTAGCAAAGAATCCGTCTTTTCATTCCAGGACAAAGCACATACAATTGAGATATCATTTTATCCGGTCTCTTCTGGAAGATGGGATTTTGAAACTTGAAAAGATTAGTGGAGCTCAAAATCCGACAGACATGTTGACAAAGACGGTGACTACGGACAAACTGAAGTTGTGTTCAGCTTCAGTTGGCATGCTAGAATAACAAGACCAGACATGATGCTGCATTGATCGAGGTGTGAAGACATATTAAAATCAGTCTTCAAGTGGGAGATTGTTAAAAGTTTCAAAGTTTGGCAACCAACTTTGGAAAATGTTTTTTCAAAGTTTGGTAAATGTTTCTTTGAAAAATGTTTTTCAAAGTTTGGTAAAATTTTGGTAGATGTTTGTTGAAAATAGGAATGGGTAAATTCACTTTAGTCATTGCACTTTAGGGTATTTTCAAAGATTAGTCCCTAAGTTTCTACTATAAATACCCTTACCCATTTAGCTTCAAAATCATCCCAAAACATTTCTTTCTTCCTATACTAGAGAGCTTTCTTGTGAGTAGTGAGTGTTTTGTAAACACCTGTAAATTTCCTCTCTTAGTAAAAGATCTGCAGCAGCCCGGAGACGTAAGCACAATTGGCTGAACTCCGTTATCAATTTTCGGGTATTATTTTTCCGCTTTTATTTCGCATTCTCACTAATCTGGTTATAGGGAAATTACTTGTACTCGGTTTATTTTCTTAACAATTAACTACCAACACAGTTCATCTTTAAAAATCTCACACAGTACTGCGTAATCTCAGTATATATTTTTGATGCTAGGAGAAAACAAGTACCTGGAAAAAACCCCATTCTTTGCATGCACCATGCAACAGCTCCAGTTCTTGTCGGGAAGATAACTTGTGCATATCAATAACAGGAACTTGCGCCTACGGATTTGTGTGAGATAAGATGGAAGAGTCTTCATCGGTACGTACGTATCGAGGAGGAACTTGTTTCAATGGCTTCTTTGCTAACTCTTGGACGCTAGGCACCAAGAGTGAGCTCCCAAACTTTGATATCCCTGATTCCATACCTTTGAAGATGGCTTTGCCTTGCTACCTCTCTCTTTTATAAAATTTAAACATAAATTTCAAACTAACGTGATAAATAAACAAAGCAATGAATAAAGAGTGAGGACAGCCAAAGCCGATAAGCCTAAGTTATAGTTGGTCTTAAATGTTGCAATGTTCGGTTGGATTAAATAAACCCCAAAGAATAAGACCTATTTATTCATCAGTTTGGTTTTCTCGAAACGATACGTATTTGGCTTCATTTATTCGTCTCCTGCTTTTGAGTTTGGATTCCTTTACTAGAAAATTGTGATTGCTGATACTAAATAATTAAGATTTATATTCAGGTTTATGATCATATCTTTAATAATATTATCTTTAATTTATAATTTTGTTTTTCTCTGCAGAGTATAATACCTATATTTTACACTTTTTTACATGTACAAAATTAGTTTTTGTTATTAATACTTAACTTGATTGTCATAGTTGTTATAATGTTATTATAAGGAACATGGAATATAGCACAACCACAAAAGGAGGTCGAGGTGGCAAATAGATCACTCAGATCGGATTCAGTTTGAATTATTTCGGTTCGGATCATTTTCGGTTTAAATTTAATTCGGGTCGGGTCGGGTCAGAACATTTCGGACTTTGATTTTATTCTGGTCTTAGTAAGTCGAGTCAAGTTCGGGTTGGATCAGGTCAAGTTCGAGTCTCGGTTTTATTCGAGTCTATAATAAATCGGGTCGGTTTGGGTATCGGGTCAGGTAATATCATATTGGTTGATTTTCGGGGTTTTTTTTTTTTTGAAAGACCGTTCTCATACTCATGAATTATCGTGTCGCATCTCTCTCAGTTTTAACTACCATCCAAATTTCAATTAGAGATGACAGAAAAGATATGCCTACACACCCACCACATTTACTCGATCCTGTTAAAGCTACACGGACCGCTCACATGCACCATCTTATAACATACTACAACCCTCCCTATGGCATAAGCCAACCACCGGAGCCATGGACTGGTACTCCTGGTTATCCAAAACTGGCCTTCACCCCTCACTTGTCTATACCTATGGCTTTGCCTTCTCTGGGAATGAGCTCCAAAAGGGTTTAGCTTACCTCAACCATGAGTTTCTTCAGAGCATGGGCATTTCCGTTGCCAAGCATAGGCTGGAGATTCTCAAGCTTGCTAGGAAGGAAATCAGTGAGACCTCTAATGGTCAGTCCAAGTTAATTTCGGCAGTCAACAAAATCAGGAAGTACTCAAAATATGTTAACAAGTTGGTTCACCAAGAGAACAACACGACAACAAAGGCACTTCCGGCGCCGGCGCCGGTTTCTTATAGAGAAAAGTGGAGAGAAGCATTGTCAAAGAAGGATATGAAGATAGAACACCCACTGCTGAGAACCAGGAGGACAATGGCGAAATCTGGTCCCTTGGATTATAGAGGACAAGAGAAATTGCTGGTCACTCCTAGGAGCTTGAAATTATGAGGTCCCCTTGATAGGAAATTGCAGGAGAGGTTGGAGTTCGGTTATAAGAGCCCGATGACATCAGGTTCTACTGATGTTTCAATGGGGCAAGAGAGATTGATGGTCAATGATAGGAGCCCAAAGATTCATGGTGACAACAACAGGGAGATGGCAGGTGGGGCCTTCATTGAACATACATTTTGGGAAGCTCTGTTTCAGAACATGAAACCTACTTGACTTCACCATGTATCTTTCCTTACTTTTGTTGCCTGGAAACGTGAGATAGGTCATACAGATGGTTCTTTTACAGTTTCATCAATATGCATGCGTGCATGCCATTGTTTGCATTCATCTTGAATTCATGTAATCTAAATTTTCAAGAATTATATATACTTTAAGTTTGATGGTTTGCTTGAAATGTTTGGGCTACTTATCTTCTTAGACAGAATGATACTCAGCCCACACCAGAGAATTTGTAAGAACAGAACCTGGGCCTGAAGCAGATTGGTGTAGTAGAAGACAAATAAAAGCATACGTTTAAGAATGTAAAGAAGGGAGATGAGATTACTTAAACGACACGTGAAACCGAGCAGTTGATAGCTTTTGGGATAAGCAAAAATGGAAAGGTCACCTCACCTGAAGCTTCCTTAAGTAAAAAGAGGCGTACCTTTGCAAGCCTTTTGGGTGAAGCTTTCTTGGAATTAATCTTCATGGAGAAGCAATAGATGCAGTTAATTCATCTATGCTTTGCTCCAACCCTTTGCCACTTGCATCTTTTCTTGTCTATCATGTCAATACCAATTCAAAGACAACAACAATGGGAAAATAGTAATATATCATTATCTATTTAAATATAAAATATCTTACATACAATTATCATTTTTTTAACAATTTTGATTAAGAGGTGGAGAAAAGAAAACTTTACTCCGATATTAAACTCACAACCTAAAGAAGAGAGGTGGTGTCAACTAAAAGTTTTTGACCATTTTAGATTATTAACAGTTAATTACTATCACTTAGAAAAAATAAACGTTTTTTTGAGAATAAAATTAGTTGGATGATGTAAATATAACAAAATGATGGCATGGAAGATGTGATTTGGCCTTGCTCACACAAACTGTTTGCACTAAAAATTCCTAATATACCAATCTCCACACGCAAACAACTTTGCCGTTTCACTGCAGTTGAGATCAACCGGATAAGATAACAACAATACCACACTGCAATAAAATAATCAAACTGCAGTTGACTGGTTCACGATTGTTCTCGTTGTGTATTGTTGGTAATTAATAAAATTATTATACACTCGTTGTGTAGTTGGAAATGCAAAGTTTCAGACAAACAGACCAAATATGGCAAGTAAAAGCAACATCATTCTTTTCCCTTGTTTCCATAGATTAGGCCAACTTTATCCATTTGCAATAACGACAAGCCATGGCACTCCATCTCTTGCCGTTTCTAAGCCCATTTTGGCAAGGAAAAGAAAAGGAACCCTAGTTTTCTCCACAAAGAGACAAACAACGTTGTTTGAATGCTCTTTGTAAGAACAAATATTGCAGCAACAAGAGGTGTGGGCACCATGGAAAATAGGTATCCATCCTTATCCTATGGAGTCGATCATCATGAAACAAACCCCTCACGTGGCATGATCATGCACATGGGGATGCATCAGCTCCTCTGAAAACACTGCACTTCTTGATTAAGATCAGATATATCTGATGGTGATGAATATATATAATTTGGTGCTTACTGGTAAAAATGTTGATTTCTAATATTAAAAATTAGATGACCCTATTCCTATATGTAATGGGGTAAGGGGAGGTAGGATAGTAGGTTGCCCCCAACGTCAGGTTGAGAGCAGCTTCCGTGGAAAACCTCCGGCAGTCAAAATTATGAATTGTATACCGTATGACATGATCCCACGACCACAATGTTAATATTAAAAATTGTTGTACACGTGAAGTGTTGAAGGGGTAATTATTGGGTGTAAATCCCTCGTCTCCTACCAATTTATAATATGAATCATGAATGGTCCCACGTCAGTGGTGGATCCAAAAATTTATAAATGGAGATCTAAAATTTTAATTTTCTTTTCTTAAAAATAATGGGTGCAAAATTTTTTATTTTTTCCATTTTTCTTTAGCATATTATATTAAATTTTATTTTCCCCCTAAATAATGGGGATACAGTTGATCCCTATAGGACTTAGTGCATCCGCCCTTGTCGCACGTTGCAGTCTGCTGTACGTATAAACCAATTTATCTACCTTTGCTTTCATCACATGGTGCCACTTGCCAGGTTATGATACTGCATTTATATCATGTTGGTGTGTTTTCATATATTATGATCGTATTTAAATTATGGATAACTACATTATGTATTGTTTGAGAAAAAGAGAATAAACTAGAGACTGTAAGTTTTTGGTTTGTTCAGCGTATGTTTTAACTTTTATGTCATACACCGTCACCGCAATTTTCAGTCTAGTGTTTGCGGAGTATAAATGTCGATTGATCGAAATTTCATAAGATTATTAATCGTTAAGGGAATGTGAGATCCGATGGAACTTCATCAACGACAAAGTGAACGTTTAGATCCTCGCCTGGCGTAAGGGTGCTTGGTCCTTCACGAGGTTCCAACCAAGTCGGCATCTCTTAAGGAGCGGGTATGACCAGGAAGGAGGAAATTTGGCTTGAGCCACAGAAGAGATGACAGAGCATTTTGACTATGCTCAGGCTGAACACCGCGTGACGTGAACGCCGTCTGTCTTGTCTTTCACTGAACGGTACTATGAAGTGGAATCCGTCTGTCTTGTCTTCCACCTCATAAAGGAGTTGCGTTTCGAGGGACTAAAAATCTGACTCTATAAAGCAAAAGCCTTTTCCTGATTTACGAAGAATTATCAATCTTTTATTCAAATAAGGGACTCTGATCATTATATTCTTATGCCCTTTTAGTCATACAATCTTCAAGACATTTTCACTAGACTCGCACATAGGTTCACATGAATTATTAACTAGTCCTACATAAAAAGTTTTCTTCTTATCCATTTAAACATTTATCTTAATCACTTAAGTTCTTAAAAAGTATAAATACTCAGTCTAGGAATATGAATACTCGGTACCTACTCAATGATATTGATACCAAATAAAAAAAAATTAATACCAAAATAATAATTTCAACATCAAAACAGCACATTGAAATCCCCTAAACCATCCAATATTGCTCAAGGAATATAAAATAAGGTAAATTACATTTTTAATACCTAAACATCAATTTTGATATATTTTAATACTTAAACTTTTAATTTTTAAAAAATTATCTAAAATTTAATTTTTGTTTTATTTTAATATTTCTGTTCAAAATTTAACGTTAAGTTTTAAAAAAAATTTAAAAAATAAGTCCTAAAACGGGCCAAAATTAATAATTTAAGTACTAAGTGCGTTAAATTTTTAACGTCGAGATACTAAAATAAAAAATCTAAACGTTAGGTATAATTTAAAAAAAATAAAAATTTAAGTATTAAACGAATAAAAACTAATAATTTATGAACTATATGCATAGTTTACCCTATAAAATTTATATTAAACCGAATTCAGGTATAATTTTAGAATTTATCCCTTTTTTTTAATTGAGAGATGCAAACACCGAGATCCTTTAAAGCACTTTTGTAGTGGTAATAATTTTACCTTCAAGTGGTCCCTTGGTAACTTCATGAGGCAGTTCAAAAATTTTAAATTTCCTTTATTGATGTTTATTGGGTATGAAATTAGTTGTCCCACACCCACTGCCAGATTTCTTCAATTCGCAAAAGCAGATATTTATGGTTTTCTTTATTTAATTAATCTCATCTCCAATATATAAATATAGATAATTGGTTTTAATTTTATCTTCACCTTTAATTTCATTATTATTTAATTGTTTATTGTTTTCATATTTCCCCTTCCTTTCCATCAAATTTAGCAAAGGGTAAAAGCATATCTTCAAGTTCAAGGTCAAATAAATCCACTCCAACTCGCCCTTGTGTGTCCATTTAGATAAATTTCGCCCACTTTTAGGAGTTTTCCAATTTCGATACCTGCAAAACAATCAGTTATAAAACAATTAAATGAAAAATGAAAAATGAAAAATAAAACGAAATTAAAGTTAGGGGGGGGGCGGAACATACGAAAACGATGAAAGGTAAGAGTCAACGGGAGAAAATAACAAACGGGACGAACTTCTGAAATGAAAAATGGGGAACGATGATCGGAAAACGTCAAACCAAACGGATCACGAGCAGGAAAACTGCGATGGAATGGAATGAATGGTGCTTAATGTATCCATCAAAATTAAGATCTGGCTTGGGAATTATAGATTAAAGTCCGATTAGATTAGAATTAGATCAGGTTCTTTTTTTTTTCTCAAGGCTCCTCAAATTTGGCATTGCCTGCAAATATATGTATTTACACCAACAAACTATATGATAATTTGTTCCTCGGATTTTACGGTTTCGGTCACCCGGAGTACACTAAAAATCATGTCCGTCCCGAATCCCTCGTCCAGATCTCCAACCTTCTCGCCGGTATCTTACTTCAACGCTACAGTCCGGCGTTACTCCGAAGCTGGATCTCCTATCACCGGAAAATCTCGGATACTCAACCAAAAAACATTAGAAGATTGCACATACCGCGAAAGGGATCTTTATAAGTCATCAGCTTTTGACATCAAGGAGAGTCGGCTAGGCCTAGGCTGGAAAGCTGCTCGGCGACGTTGCTGGTGAGACGAAGGTCTAATCAAAGCCGACAACGCTCTCTTAACCAGATCCCCTTCCACTCCTCCAATTCTCACCAGCGAGTTCGTCATCGCAGATCTACGCGCGTTAAGCCGATTACTTGGCGCGTAACTGGACGCCGCATGTGAATTGTTTAAACTCTTATGAAGACTGCAACGGAAGGAACCAGGATGCGTCGTGGGAGAACACATACAAGAACGCTTCGGCTGTTGTTTCTCCAAATTCCTCACGATCTCGGTGTTTCTACGGACGGTGGTAATCGAATGGTTCGGCGAGATCGGACGGTTATCAAGCGTGAATCGCACGGACGGCACGGACTGGGAGTGATTATAGATATTGACACGTGGCGGAGAGATTGATCTGTGTGTATTAAAGAAAGTTGAGGAGCGTGAATAAAAACTTGAACTCGAGAAAGCAAAAGCTGAGGAAGAAAAAGAAGATGAAGAGTCTGAAGCATACTGAGAGCATAACCGGCCGGATGGGGAGAGGGACCGGAGAACCGGACCGCTAGTTCGTCTAGAAGATGTCGCCATTTTTTCAGGTATTGGAGAGGAGAGAGAGAAAGCCTGAAAGCGAAGGAAGGAAGGAGAGTCTTTTTCTACTATTTTTCTAAAAAGCCGTGTTTGGCTGTTCAGTTGGGCAAACCCAGCTTTACTCGAGCCATGCATTTATAGGGTGAGAGGGTTTGAAATTTCACGATATTATCAAAGTGGGGATTTCTAAGTCTTCGATTTTGCATTTTTACCCCTGAACTTTGTGATATTTATTTTCAATGTCGTTGTCATTATTCTTTGCCGCTGCACTGTCATTGTTACTTCAAAAAAAATATAAAGAAAAATTGAAAATTATTTTATGAAATTTACCAATTCAAACAATTAACTATGAATACAAAATTTAAACTATTAAGTAAAACATGCTAAGAGTTAATGAAAAATAATAAATTTTAGAAATATATTAATTAGCATTAATAGAAACCGTTTTCATTTGTTGTGATCTAAGAAAGAACAAACCTAAATTACAATTTTTTAATTTTTCTTAAAAATAAAAAAATGAGTCAATTAACCTTTAAAAACAATAAATATAAAATCAAATATAATATTTTTCCTATTTTAGTAAAAGACGAAGCAAGTGACCACAGCTGGCAGGGGCCAGTTAATGCCCGTTATTTGTTGAACACACTGACAGCTTTTGGATCATTGAAAAGCTTTGCTATTTTGCTGCCACGTACGCTGTCATCTTTATGACACCACTGACCCACTCTTTTTAAAATCCATTGCCTAATATCTTTCAAATTTGAATTTTGGTGATTACATTAAATAATTCAAATCTTGTTAAATGTTACTGCTTTTTATAGAAACGAATTATCAAAATTTATAATTATAATTTGATATTTTTCCTTTATTAAATTTTTAAATATAAAAGATGGTAATCAACCTACTTGCTAATTACTCAATTCCTTAACACAAATTATTTGAGTTCAACTCCAATCACGTCATAATTATACTAATTTCATTTTATAATTAAAATGTGATATTATAATAATATTTATACAATTCAAATGAACGAGTCAACTTTAAGCTTAAGGTTTGGAGTTGTTAATTTACTAGACTCGACAAATGAATCCAAAATAAATCATAGTAGCTATCATTGAGAATTAGAATTAATTGTATTAGAAATCTTCAAACTATGTCGAGATTTATAATCAACTTTCTAACTTGTTAGAACCGGATGGAAAATCATTGAGAATTATAAAAATTAGGCTTAAGTATATAAAAAGTAATTAGTTTATATTTTTTTTTCGGTTTAGTGTCTAACGTTTATTTTGTTCCAGTTTAATATCTAACGTTTCGTTCCTTTATTCAAAATGAATTACGTCTTGACAGACGGTTAAGTTTAACCGTTAAACCATTAATAATATGTTTCATCTCCTCCGTTCCACAATCTCAACGTCCTGGTATATGCTCTCAACTTCCCTTTTCTAGATGTTTTATTTCTGGGTTTTCATTTGGTTGCGAATTCTAATTGGTTTCTTTTATATTTATATATGTCAGCTTTATTCCAATCATTTTTGTTCGAAGCTTGTGGAGAACGGTGAAAACTGTGAACGGAGTCGTCGGTCTTTTATGGACAGGAAACTGGCGTGTTTGCCAAGCGGCGGTGCAAGGAGGAACTCTAAGGGTGATGCCTGAACTTATGGCTCCCACACCACCATCCGATGAAACATCGGGAGCTACGATTACGTACACGTTGAAGTTGCAAGAAACAGTGATGAATCTTAACTCAAATTGTCGATTTTCCTATTCGAGATCTAAGGTTTCACCTAACCGTATCCGAGTTGAAGAATTCAGTAAATTTCATTCATCCGATCTAGATCTTTGCCTGACTCCAAGATCCTTGCCTGACTCCAAGATCCACGGGAAATTGGCTTTCCCATAAAGGACGACCCGGGATTCTGTCGTTGAACTCGGAGGAATCTATTACGATGACGTGTTTTGAAAGTGGGTTTGCAGTTCAAACCGGAGAAGCAGATAAAAAGCTATTAAACTTGTTTGCCTGAGGAGAAACTTTCTTTATAAAAAAAATTATTTTCTTGGTGAATCTGACATCGAAAGGACCTTGTTTTGTTGTAATATTCTTCTGTTCTACTATATCTTTTATTTTAATTAATTTCTTATTTTTAGAAAATATTTTTTAATATTAAAAAATATATCATATGAAATTTTGAGTAACGGAATAAAAGATTAGACACTAAACTGAAATAAAATAAACGTTAGACACTAAATTAAAAAAAACGGACATAAATTAGACACTTTTTGTATACTTAAACCTAAAAATTATAAAAATATATTACATGTTTATTTATAACTTACTTAAGCCTAAAAATTATTTTTACAAAAAATTATTTATAACTTAGCTTACAAAATTAAAAATAGGTTTAATGATAACTTTTGTTCATGTAATAAACATAATTTATTATCTTTGCCCTATCATTTTTTACATCAATTTGTCCTTAAAGTTGTTTAAGGTGTTCATCATAATCCTACCATTTTGACTAACATAACTGTGAGTCTTTGCGTATGTGAATTAATGGATTATGTTAAAATATTTATTAAATACAATGGTTATAATAAATTCTCAAAGTTTTATTAATTTTTTCTAGTGAGATTAAGGGATTAGTCAAAATTTGAGATTTTTTTTCTAATTGTTACATTTAGTAAATATTTAAAGTATTTTATTATTTATTTTTTTAATAAATTTTACATCATCATCAAGTCACGTCAGTAATATTGGTCGATCTAGAAATTGTTAGTGTTGAAAACGCAAAAAACTAACAATTATGTTAGTCAAAACGGTCAATGGACTTTGAGAGCTATGATGAACACCCAAATAACTTTGAGAACTAAATTAGTATAAAAAACGACAGGGGCAAAATTAATAAATTAGATTTACTACATGAACAAAAGTGATCCTTAAATCTTAAAAATATTAAAAAGAAGTAAAATTTGATCTAAAGTTCTTAAAGAATTATTTCAAGTAGGGTTAAGTTTTAAGTTATATATCGGGTTAAATTCGAGTCGGTTAAAAAACTATTTTAGTTGAGTCGGATTTCGGATGGATGACTTATTTTTGGGTCAAGTCGGATGGGTCAAAAATCCGACTCAACCCGACCGATATCCATTCCTAGATTTGATCTCCATCAAAGGCGCAGCTTGGTATTGTTAATGTTGTCAGAGGGACAATAATTAGGCTTAGGTTCTCTGTATGTTACAGGAAGGCTTGTCTCCCTCTTACAATGACTGATTATATATACTTCATTGTTAATTTTGCTCCCCAACCCATTATAATATTTATATGCATAACCTTGCATTATTCCCCCAACATGCACTACAAAATCTGTCTCTGTTCGACTCTCTTAATCTACAGCTTCTTTATTATTTTAGTAAATCACAATCAAGAATTTAAAATCAAAACTACTGTAGCCATTTGATTTGATGCTTAGAATGGTAATGGTAATCGTTTATCATTAATATCTAAACTGCCTATATTTATTATCAGTAATAACCTTTTCTTATAATATAATAAGGGAGAAAAGCAGTGTCAATCCCGTGGCTCAAATTAATAAAGGAAACACGAAAATTGATTACATTTTTAATTAATGAAGAAATTTATCAAAAGTTAAATCAATTTGAATCAGTCGATTACCTTTTTTTTTTCATCATTTCCATATTTCACTTTTCGCAGTACCTTTGGGTTATTTATAATTAATTATATGTACGCAAGTATAACAACGGTTCAAGCAACATCCTAATGTTGAAATGGTCTTATTTTGTATTTTAAGGGTTAATTATATCCATAGTTGTTGAATTATCAGTAAACTTGTATTTTTATCACTCGATTTCGAATATGTTTTTCTCGTTATCTAATCGTTTTGTATAATTTTAATCAATTGGCCATTAACTTAGTTAAAGACGTAGTGAGTAAAGTGGTATAAAATGAGTCAAGGGATGGAAACATAAACTTTTTTTTGCCCTCTCGGTTCTAAGATTTTGTCTTGACCAATCCGGATCGACTCGCGTCGTATACCTGATTTTGGTGGGTGAGTCTTCCAATAGGAATTTTCTGCATATACAAGACTCGAACCTGAGGCATTGCTTAAGCTGAATCAAATTGCTTACCACTTGAACTAATTCATATCGGTCGAAACATAATCTTTTAAACCTAGCGACGGAATGTAATTTTACTAATAATCCGGTGGACGTAAGTGTAGTTTAGCTTATTTTAATTATAATTTGTGGAGGGTTGTAAGTTGAAGTTCCGTTAGTAAATTGGTGGCTAGATCTCCATGAGAAGCACCATTGAAAAAATGTTAGCCTGTTTATTTTAGCATATGCTTTATTTTTCTGAAATATTTTCAAAAATTTGATATTATTTTGGTTGCTTTTATATTTTTAATAAAATAATATTTGCAATATATTTAAAATTTTAAATAAAAACAATACGTTTACACAATTTTATTGTATAGTTTTTCAGTTTAAATTTTATTGTATTTTAAGTTCTATGTAAATTATGTATAAATATATTTTAACTATTAATTAATTTATGCATCACGTATTATAATAATTACTTTTTTTTATTATATAGATATGTTAATCATAATTATAATTTTTTATTTATATATTATATTTATTATTTACGATTATAATTATATGAATATACTAATTTAAATCATGAGTATAAATTAGAAAATGGGTATGGAATAGACCAACGACAACCTAAGTAGCTGTCTAACAAAAACAGGTAGTTCTGCCGTACGATAATCGGAAATATTAATGATCTTTTAATATTTTCGGTAAAACGCTATCTAAAATATTATTTTTTTTCTACCGAAAATATTAATTTCGCAACCTAATTTTCGATCGAAAAACAAGTAAAAAAATACCATTTTAGGTAGCGTCAAAATTAACATTTTCAGTAGAAAAAATAATGTTTTAGATAGCGCTTTTCGAAAATGTTAAAAATATATTTATATTTTCGGTATTGCATTTCCTTAGTCATATATTAGGCTGCTGTACGGGAAAAATTGACGCATTGGGATCCGAGACAAATGATACTGAGCTGTCAGATTGTACCTTGATGGCGTTGAGATACCAT